AGATGCAAAAGCCACAAATAGTACTTACTAACACAAATAACTACCAATATTTTCCATAAACTTATAGCTCTTTGGAGCCCCAAAATTTGGTCCTAAAAAACGATTATCTAATGCTCTTCCAAAATTTCTGAGCTAGTTACTTTATCGCAACATCATCTTTCAACCGGAATGCATCGATTCTATTCTATTTCCCACTTTAATGGGGTGGTTAGATGAATCTGCACTACTTATAGTTAATGATTTATGTATCTTTCCACTTGTTCACATACTTAAGGAACGAATGTGAAGGGTTTTCCCCTAATGGGGCACGAATACGAGTCGACCTCCGAACGAGGGACTCTTCCATTTGCATCCTTCGTGTTGCCTCCTTTGATCTTTTCTGAAGTCCAGTGCTGCAAAATTGAATTCAATGGAACAAATTCTTAAAAAGGCATTTTTGAAAATAAGAGTGATTTCTGTTTTCAAGCAAACTGAAAGATGCATCTAAAAATTAATCTGATATCCCAACATAGGTCAGTGTTGAGTCTCGACTAATCAGAAATATCAACAGAAATTCTTAAAAATGAACTTGGCATGAAGATACTATGTCAGAAATATCAACAGAAATTCTTAAAAATGAACTTAGCATGACGATACTATGCCGTGTACTGTCCATGAAATTCGGCATTTAACTTTTTAGGTAACATTAACAATTTAGGTCAGGGATTTCAACGAAGGCAAAAGAAGCATTTGGCCCCATAGATTAGTTATAGTTACTAGTCAGTGAAATTTCGGCTGTAACTGATAGTTCCCCAAGAATGCCAACAGAACAAATAGAAAATCTACCACACCTCACACATAATTCAGAAAATCTACGACAGAATGACAGAATACATAACACAAAACAAATCTTCAATTAGACCAACTGACATCCAGACAAACCATACCACAATAAATGATAAAGAAATTTAAGAGATTAAATAACCCACCATATTTTGTTGTAAAATTTCTCCAGCTGCTTTTTGAGAGCTCTCTCCCTCACCCCTTTTTGGTTCATCGATCCAATCAAAGCATCAAGCTGTCATAAGGAGAATAGAAACTAGGTAAAAAAAAAAAAAAAAAAAAAAAGTCAAAGTGTCAGGATACAAAGTCACAACATCGCACCTCGTCCTTTGTTTGATAATAGCCCCATTGTGTGGACTCAGAATTCTCAACAAATACCCTCCCATCACGTTGAAAAAACCAATACGTGCAGCGATCTCTATCTTTCCCTAAAGGGCTAGTGCGAATAAATCTCTTCTCAATCTCCCGTTCAAGAAATTCTTTCTGCATGAAGAATACACAACAAAATACCAATGACCAAGATGACAAAACAATTTTTTGTCTTTCATCGCTTTCTAATAAGCACAAACAAATGTATATGGCGCACCCTTTGCCCTGCACTCTTCATTCCTAATGACTCCTTGACTTCATTTTTCATCAGCTTATGGATCTCCCTCTTGGACGGGTTATTAACATCTTCTGGAGAAGTGTTGGTCTCAACCTTCCGTTTCTTGGCATTCTTCTTAGACGTGCTGTCACCTTGTTCGTTCTCACTGCTAAATAAACACATCCGCATATAAATAGAAAACTGATAAGGTCTTGATTACGATTATTCCAATTCACCAACAAATTGTTTTAGCTCGGGCAAAATAAAAATAAAAAATAAAATAGGAAAAGTCGAACCTGGTTCCACCAGAGGATTGACTCCGTCGATCAGCAGCAACTCCATTGGGTACAACACCATTATTGCCCCCGCCAGATTTCACTTTACACTCATCTTTAACTTCTTTGCCATTAGCTTCCAACTTCTTGCGCTCCTTTTTCTCTCTCCTCTTTCTACCTTCGTCCAGTGCTTCATCCCTCCTTGCAGCAGCAAGTGCCTGTCTTTCTTCAATAAACTCATCCAATTTGTCCCTCACAGTATCCGTCTCCACAACTTGAGCAATCAATTCACGAAAAATCACCAATTTCACATTAATCTCCAACAGGGAATAACGGCCTCGCTTAATAGTATTAATATGCACTGTTAGTTCATCACATTGGGTCATTTCCAAGAAGTCACACAAGTAATCTGTCCAGGTAGTCTGAGTAATCTGAAAGAGGAACAAAAAAAGCCAAATTACGAGAAAGAACACCTACTCACCAATATTCTTTATGTGATAATGTGAGGAAAAAATTCTTGTAGGACAGGTCAAAAAACCTTTGGCTTCCTTTTCTTATTTTGTATAAATGTAGAAAAGTCTGCGTTGTCCTTTATTAGCAAGTGAAGGAGAGCTGAATAAGACTCCACAATGAGCAAAGGAGTGCTGTCTTTATAACGAAGGGAGTTCTCAAAGTCTTCAAGAGAGAACGGGGACAAATTTATTAGCCTTCCAAATGAAGCACAAAAATCCCACACCATCAAAAGATCACCAACACAATCCATGGGCACATTGAAGTCTCTGCAGGGGAAGGGCCTTTCCGTCAAAAGCTGGTCTTCCTCGGTAGGCTGCACCAGCAGATCATCAATGGGATACTTAATGGATTCATCTTGTGGATTCACTGGAAATAACAAATCAAGAAATCAGAAAGAGATGGAGAGAGAGAGAGACAGAGAGAGAGAGAGAGAGAGAGAGAGAACAAGACGATTGCGAAAGAATGGATGAATGCAGAAACATTTAATATTCTCATGGATTCTAAAGTAGTCAAGAAAAAGGCAACAGAAGGAAAATAAAACAAAAGGGAAGAAAAATAAGAGGCATATCCCCACAATAAATGAATATGTCAGAAACAGAATGAAAAAAAAGAAAAACAATTAACTTCATCAAAACCCTCCATAATCACAACTGGCCCTAGCATAACTAAACAGCAGAGAGAAATTGAGCAACACAAGAAATGTGATCATGCATGACCTGGGAAGTGACCGCGAAAACCTACCTCCATCAGCGCACTTTACATCCTTCTCACTTGCCTCCTAGTAATAATAAACAGAAATGATTTCAAACTATAAACTTCCAAATGAACTCAGAAAGATGCAAGCATTAAGAATTTACACTCACTGCAGTCTTTTTAGGCTCTTCAATTTTTTTTCTCTTCCTGTTACAAACTATAAGTCCATTCTGCAAACAACATTGGGACTTCAATTCTTCAGGAGGTGAGGTAGGGATTCCGTGTGCCTTTGCTAACTTATCATGTAAAACCCAAGGGAGGTTCCTGTATGTAGAATCTTTGATAAAAGCCTTGAGAACCAGTTTGCTGAAAGGAGGATTCTTTACTGACAAATCATCACCATTTAATAGAGTCTTTCCCCTCTTTTTCTGGCCATCATCCAGCCATTCAATTTCATATTTTGTCAAATCAGCATCCTCGACAATTTTTATGATTTTGCACATGTGTAAACGACCATCCCTCTTTCCATATAACTCATCACCCTCGGAAAAAGGGCCTTGAAACTTTGCAGCAATTGAATTGACCAGATCTTTCAAATTTAGCATGCCTGCCATTAATTATTATATATTAAAAAAGAAGACCAAATCCATGGTCAAGTAAAAATGTGAAGACCATCTCAATTCCATAAAAGCATTGGCCCATTCAAGTAATCCGATACAATTCATTCATAATTAAGATGTCTAACATAGGAAAAAACATACAATTTCCTGAAATGCACAACTTCCGTGCAGACCACTAAAAAAAATGTTTTGTTCAATATTGACTGAATATGTGTAACCTAAATGTTAGATGTAATGCAGTAACTCACGAGAGAAGCACAGTATCTGGATAACTTGTTACACGATTGCGCTAAGACTAAATAAAAGAACTTCATTTGATCAAATAGAACTCCATGTCGGTTTATAGTTAAGTCCTAACAATAGAAATAACGTAAGTCCTAACAACTCATGCAATCATATGGGATATAATATCAGATATCTCCATCTTCAACTCAAATAGATGGAAGATGATAAATGCACGATGTCCCAACCCAACCCTCCAATGTGTTGATGAGTTGAGTATACATAGCTTTATCAGCGACATGGTTGACCATTTAGGAAGAAGTCAACTAGAGGGCAGTCATGCTACAACAAGAGAAGCAGATGGAAAGAATGGGCATCAAGGAAGGAAATATATCTGGTTGATGACCGAGGAATCTAAGAAGGGCGAATGTGAAAGGAAACAGAAAAGGAAAATATCTATTTTGAACTGCCACAATTAATGCTTTTCACCATTTACGTGAGCAGGCTATGACAGGTCAAATTATACAAGTTGCGTATAACGTCATAAAGTCACATCTTGATTCATTAATCATCAGGCACATTATCGATGATTCCTCCAGTTCAACCACTCAAAATTTTGGTGTTCTTTCTAGTTTCTCATTAAACAAATAAACAGATGCAGATTATCATTTGATCTTTCCTTGACAATAAGAAATCCGCTGTAATAGTGTGAATAAATGTTCAAAGTCATATCCATGAAAAGCGACAAAAAAATACAAATTATCCACATCCTATCTTCTTATATTCTTTTGTTACTCATCCCATTTCATGCACCATCAGGCGCATCATTAGTGGGGATTCGACTGAAAACGAAATCCACATACTAGTGATGCTGACAAATTTTACAAGTCATACATTATTAATAAACGAACACAACAAGAAACCAATCAACTACAGAAAATAATATACGACACAAATCCATTTTGGAAGTTTATTATTGTGCCAATATCACGTCATTTAGCACTTATATAATTTAGAAAATACTTTGTGCTATACTACCACAACTGGTAATGTTAGAAATTAGGCCATAAAGCTGCTACCCATCACAAGATCCTGACAGGTTTGTTCTCAGAAAGATGGCAACAGCTGGACAAAACAAAGACAGAACTCACTGAATTGAACATCACGAAGAATAGGAGCCACATATTGGACGGGAATATTTCGTATCCGTTGGGAAGCCCTTTCTTCTGAAGCAAGCGCCTCTTCATAGGTCAAATTGCCTTTCCCTGTAGCTTTGCATGTCCAGACTCTTTTACGGTATATGTTAATTCTCTTCAAATATTCACTGTTGACATATCAGATGTAGGCATTAGAAAAAGGTTAAAATTGAAACAACGAGTCCATATTTTGTGCTTGAATAAAACAGAATTTACTTATAACTTCTGAAGATTTCTTTTGTTAATTGAATTTGAAAGACAAGCTCTTCCGGATTTAGATCGCCTGGCTCCTCAACAAATGCAATTGGCTTTCGTTTATAAAGAGGCATTTCTTTTTTGCTTTTGTTCGAATTCCTTCAAAAGTCAAGCTCATAACCTGAAAGGATAACAAAATAACATGGATCAAAGATGACAGAAAAATCCAGATGTACCAACAATTCAAACGCAGAAGAACCCACAGAAATTTTACATCAATAAATGGGAGACCGAGATAGAGAGAGACAAGTGAGAAAACACGCGGATAACATCGAAAACCAAAACCCAACTTCAGGAATCCAAAAAAAAACAACATAAAAAACCCACTGAAAATTTACGTCAATAAATGGGAGACGGGGATAGAGACAGCCCAGGTGAGAAAACACGCTGATAACATTGAAAAACAAAACCTAACTTCAGGAATCCGAAAAAAACAACAACAAAAATTGATGAACAAATTCAAAGAAAATTCCAATCTAGACGAATTGAATCTTAATCATAAAAAGAAAACACAACAATTCTGCATGCATTGGAGCTTTACCAAGTCAATGCAGACAAATCTACCACAAAACCTAGTATAAACACACGACTTGCATTCAGTTCCCCAAAATTGTAAATTAACAAAAATAAAAATAAAAATTCCACACATCAACACAAGTTCACATTCAGAAACCATATATTTCCCGCCAGTAGTTGAATTGGGAAAGATCAACGAGAACATGACCTTACCGTGATTAACGATTGGGGTTGGGGACTTGGGGGTTTTTGAACGGGGCATGTTTGTGTGTAATGTGCGTTCATATATTTAGAAAGGCGCTTGAGAGCGAAGAAAGAGAGGAGGCGGTGAGGTGCGTTTTTTCGCCACTGAAGACTACTGACGTGTTGCGGTTCCTCTCTCACGGTTCTAATAAATTTATATCAGTTTTGTATCACTTTTTATCGAGCTTGTGAAATGACCGATTCATTGGTTGGTTCTAGTGGTTGAATGATTGGATTGAATATCTTTGAACATATATAATATTTTATATAATAAAATTTATATATAAAACTTTATTAAGTAAATATTAAGATAATTTAAAACATTCAAATACCTAAAAAAAACTAATAATAACTTATATAAATCCCTTATATTTAAATATGTTTTTTATTTATATTAAATATTTTTAAAGCGCTTATTCTGGTGTTTATCAGTGGTGGTATACAATCGGTTTGCGCACTAATGAAGATCTTTATACTGGAGCTCTTTTTTTATTATTTCTATATTACAATTTATTTAAAAAAAAATTAGACCGGTTCAAATCAGTCCAACTGGATCGGTTTTTGGCCGGTTTTTACCGGTTCAACCGGTCGTTAACTGGTTTTTGACCGGTTCGCTGTGAATTGGTTCATTCCAGCGAACAGGATCGGTCAACTGACGGACTCCTGTTCGAATCGGCCAATCCAGTCCAGTTTTTTAAACCACTCTTTTTATTGTTTTTTTTCTTCCTAAAGGAACAAAATTTTTAACTTCATAAAATCACATTATGTTTTCTCCACTTTTTTTGACTTTGATGCGCTTAGGCTTATTTATGAGGATGTACTCAATTAAGATTTTTAAAAACTGTTTAAGACTTTCATAATTATGGTGTTGTTAAAATTTTTTTAGACTTCTAAAAAGTCTGTATGTATTCAAGTGAGACTTTTAGGGCCTGATTGGATGTGGAAAAAAATCAATTTATATCGATTGAGTCACATGGGCTGATTGGATACGAATCACATGGGTATTTGACCAGCTTTAATTTTTTAGTGTCTTCACTCTTCACTCATACACCCAACCACCCCAAATAAATTACTAATGTAACACCCCGCCTTGACTAGCTTTCACTTTTGAAAATCATAGTTAATTTTTCGATTTTAACTTTCGAAATATCGTGCGAGTTTATTTTTGAAAATACTTTCTTAATTGCGGGATGCTACGAAAACTTTCTTAACTTACTATCTCGGACATAAAACATGCAACCAAACGAGCCACTACGGTGATAATGGAATTATACATACAATCCGTCTTTCTCGCACTGAAACTTAGCGGAAGCTTAAAATGAGTAATACATATTACACGCGTACATATTGCATACAAATTCATGAATTTTAAAAACATATGATGTGTGTAAAAATGTCCACTGCTCATGACCACATTTGCCACGTCTGCTCACCCGGCACGCTGGACTCCGACACCTGAAATAAGAAAGACTGTGGAGTGTGAGCACATCTGCATGCTCGTGGGAAAAACTGGAACTGTAATAATCAACTGTAAACATAAACTTAAAAGCAACATAAAATAAATAAGTTGTACTGAACTGTAAACTTTTCTTAAACTTTAACTTTGGTCAAAAGTCCCTTGCTCGGCCTTGGCCGCTTCTGTGCACAGGGACTGAAACTGTGGTCAAAGACCCTTCGGCCTTGGCCGCATCTGTGCACAGGATTTCTTAAACTTTGGTCCGTCGACCCTCGACCCTCGGCCGCTCGTGTGCACACCATCCAGACACTGAGGCCGAAGCCCCAGCCAGATACCAGGTGGATTAGAAAGGCCCTTAGGTCGGCCTCTCACCTGGGAGAAATTTAATCCCCCGAACCGGATAATTCAACCGTTCGAGTAGACTTAATCCCTCGAACATACCTCAGTTATGGTAAAATAATTATAGACAGTGTAAAACCCAATACATGACCCTTACTCTGGCCGTCACTGAATTAGACAACATCTATAATAACATATCATGAACTTCATTATATAAGAGTTGAACTTAATCTTTCTTTCTTTTCTTTCCTTTTCTTGTGGTCAAAGACCCTCGGCCCTCGGTCGCTTTTGTGCACAGGGACTGAAACTGTGGTCAAAGACCCTTCGGCCTTGGCCGCTTCTGTGCACAGGATTTCTTAAGCTTTGGTCCGTCGACACCCTCGGCCCTCGGCCGCTCGTGTGCACACCATCCAGACACTGAGGCCGAAGCCCCAGCTGGATACCAGGTGGATTAGGAAGGCCCTTAGGTCGGCCTCTCACCTGGGAGAAACTTAATCCCCCGAACGGGATAATTCGACCGTTCGGGTAACTATCTTACTCACGTACCTTATACAGGATAACTGAAATGCATAATGTAACGCCCTGTAAAGGCTCCCACCTGGTATACTCAAAATCTGACGCAAGTGCTTGAAACTAAAGTAGCGGTCGGAGGCTCGACTCTCCTTAGGCTACATAACATATAAGCAAAATAATGCTAAGTATGATGCTCGAAATAGTTAATTATTATGCTAAGATGCTTGGTTCTAAATGCTCATTTACTGGATGAAAAAGATTGTGCTAAGGGTTCGCTTAAAAATATACTGAGTCCGGATTTATAACTAGTATTCTTGAACTAACTGGTTTGGCTCGGAAAAATACTTAAAGTCCGGAGTAAAAATCAGATCGAAACTCTCGAACAAAAAATATAGGCTCGAACAGCCGGTCGAACCGGCCGGTTCGCTGACTGGCCGGACCGCCGGCTCGGGCTGAACTGGGCGGTCGGGCACTGGCTCAAACTGACTGCTCGGTCCCGCACCGGACCTGCTCGAGCTCGGGGTTTGTTGGGCGTTCTGGTCGTGAGCCTGGCACGACACAGGCGCGGACTGAGGCTACCAAGACGCTGTCGGGCGTCCTTGGGGCTACTGGGCGCACGGGCGTGCTGTTGGGCACGTCCCGGGGCCACCAGGACCTCGACAGACACGGGACTGACGCGGCCAGGCGCGAGGTACAGGCATGGGGTCGGCACTGCACGCGCGGTAGGCGCGGCTAGTGACCATGACCGACCCCTTTCCGACTTTTGGCAACTTTACTAGGGACATGCAACATATATCACTTCAACATGATACAATAGGCACAAAAATGCAAGAAAATGCTATGAGACCTCGGGTCGAAATGCATGTAGTCCGGTAGGGCCGAAATGGCATGTAACGAGCATGGGGGTCACCGAACCCACTTCTTAATCTTGCATAAATGACTATGGCCGGGTGTTATACATCCTAAAACATGATTTTTAAGGCTAATATGATAGGCTTTACTTGCATGCACACTAAAATGGCTCGGAGGAGAAAAATACCCTAAAAATCATGAACTAGTTGACCAAACATATGAACTCCAAATGTGCTCAAACTTTTACATCATCTTTCTCATGATTTATGAGGGGCATTAAGTTAACAATTTCGACTTAAACATGTATGGAGCTAAAAATCCGAATTTAAGGTATTTAATTCTTAAAAATCGAAACTCATAGCTAATGGCATGAATGACTTCATTTCTCTTCATGATAAATCATATTTTATCATAAAATGACTGATGAAAAAGTATTGCTCAAGCTTACCTTTACCGAAGATGGAAAACGAGTGCTAGGGACTTGCTAGGGCTCGGTTCGGGTCTTGAGAGGCTATGGCTCGACTCGGGTGGAGTTTGGTCGAGGTCAAAGGATGCTGGAAGCTTAGAACAATCCTAGGAACACAATGGACATGGTGGACCTCGGTGAAAAATGGCTAGAATTCGAAAATGCTCGGTGCTCCCTCTCCTCGGGTCTTTTCCGCGCGTGTGATTGGTGTGGTAAGTGTTCTTGACCTTTCTCTTCTCTCCTCTCTATTTGGTGAGCGTTATGGACAAAAATGAAGTGGTAAAAATCTGAATTCTCTTGGTCTTGGGGTTTTAAGGGGTCAAGGAGACAAGGGGACAAGACATTTGTCTTGGGCACAACAAAAGAGGTGAGTTTTGTTGGGGTAGAACTCAAGAATGATGTCTCCAAGACTAATGCTGGTCAAAGGTGTTTAGTGGTTTGGTCTTGGTCAACATGGACCACTTAAAATGCTGAAAATTCGAAATGGTGGAGTCTTGGCTCGATTGGGCTAGATTTGGGCGCGCAGGGCGCGGGGGCTAGGACGCTGTCCTGCTGGGCGCGCGTCTGTACGGCCTAGGCGCGTGGACTGCGGGCTTGCTCGCATGAATTGCCTTAGAAAAATTATACTAATGTTTCCTAAGACTTAGGCTTGGTCTCGGACCTCGTCCCAGGGCCTTGGGTGCGGTCACGGCTCGTGTTGCTCGGGTGAACTCTCGGTTTTTCGAACGATGTCTAGGGCTTGAATCTTGTACTTCATAACACTTAAAAAAATTCTAAGTATTATGTTACTAACGTTCGGTTAATTGCTAGGGCTCGAGAATGAGGGTCTAAGACTTGAATTTTGACACCCCAATACACTTAGAAAATATTCTAAGTATCGTGATATCTAGGCTCGGATATGCTTGGACATGACTTGGAAAATTTATTCGAATCGAGACTAGGGTTTGAAGCCAATGAATTTCTCGAGTCGAATAGATATTACTTATCAATCCAAATTAATGGCTTGATCTTGATCTTATCTTGACATAGAGAATTCTAACGAATAGTCTAACATAATTGAGCATTTAGCATATAAATTAAATAAATCTTGAATTTCTGAAAATTACGAATTTCACTTAAAAGTCGAGCAGTGAAATCGTCTTAATATTATAATAATGATCGAGGCGTTACAACTGAGCATTGCTACCCCTTTCACATATGTCCCTAGTTGCGTAAAAAGAAA